ACTAAGTAGAAGCAAACCTGATACTTGTATGTAGTCCCAATAAAAGGGTCAAAGTATCGACCATGGTTGAATATGAGGGACATTGTATGGTACAAGCCTAAAAGGCTCCAAGATGGAATGAAATGTGGAACTGGGTCTAGGTTGAAGCAGCCAAGCAGTCTATAACTTACAAGACTTGTAGACAGCAAGTCAAAGACTGCTGGCTACTTCAGCCTAGATCCAAGGTTAAGTGGATAGGTGCCCAACCTGTTTTAAGTGTTTACTCTGTGTCAACCTGTTTGCCTTACAGGTTACCCCTGCCAGATCAAGTCAGAATCGTGTTCACACACGTGTACGCAAACATTTACTCGAAGATTTGAAACGTTGGTATCTTAATACCAAATTGTCATCTGTGTACTGGTGATCTCTCTCCACTGGACTAGCTGTCCTTCTACTATTATGTATGCTTTATTGTGTTAGATTACACATTTTCAAGCATACAATTAGAAAAATTCATGAATAGCGGGAAGAATATTTGCCTCAAATAACAACCCGTTATTACTAGTAACTTCAGTCTGATTAAATTCAGCGAAAAATTGTATTAAGGTTTGCAAAAATGTTCATAATGGCATTCATCTAACACAAAATGTTTTCTTAGTTGGACAAAGGACATGCAGTTCAGTAAAGTTTAAATACTTGAGCTGTAAGTCTGTATGTACTTTACATGCAGGATTCTATAAGAGTCTGAGCCTCTTTTCATGAGGACTTTCTATCCATCTCTGTTAAGGCAAGGAAACACTGTATTGCCAAGGCATTAACTCTGGAATGTCTTACAAGTTCTTAAGAAGTATTCTGCAGCTGTCGAGTCTACCCACAAGCTCCTTGAAGTCTTTGTGTTTGCCAGGTAAACCTGTGAAGAAAGTTTAGAGTTCCTCTATAGACAGTGGGAGGGGATGAATGTCTGGTAGATTGTATGTTACCTAAGAGATGGCATGACCAGGGGAGCTCAAACATACGTGCCATGCACCATGTCCTACCTGTCACAGTACATATAGGCCTCATCATTAGACCATGGAGGCTTTGCTTGAATGAAGATTCCTAATATAACATAGGCAGACTCACATGGAAAATATTCCATTGAAGCAAAAGTTGTACAGTGAAGAGATTCCATTATTTGAATGAAGGCTATAAAGATTCGTAACATCAAAGACTTGATATATACAAGGAAATATGCCTTATTTTTTAAAGCAAAAGTGGGAAATTGGGAGCAGATTCTACTGATGGTTCTATGAAAAAGTCATTAACAATTGGAGCATTGAAAGTAATACCTTTCTTGATCATAACTTTCGTACAGTCAATCACATGCATTTGGTTAAAAAAACTGGGTAAACTTAGATCTTTTACAAAGTCATTTTGTATTGAAACAATGTTGCTATTTACTGTGACATGGTCCAGTGATAAATGGTGGAGTTTCTGTTGATGTTCAGGGGAACAGGTGTCAGATGAGGAATGTGTGTTATTGTCCTGCCTTATCAGACTGTCTGTCAGCATCTGCACATGTCCTCCCCTGGCAGGTGTCAGGATGGGGGCGGGAAGGTTTGCTAGGATACAGCAGGTACCCCAGCAGGTCACAGGGGATTGATAGTGGAGAGAGACAAGCTGATGGAGGGGAACAGGAAATCAAACATTCCCTGAACCATGACGTTTGAACAAATTAGCAACCAAGTATTGATGGAAAAATAGTGTCCTGGGCTACCATAAAATTTCAGCTTGAAATTGGTGTTGACTTTCTACTGATTACATACTCCCTGATGTTTGGCCAGCTTCAATTTTGTTTTTTCTATGGAGCAATATTGGTTTCGCACATTTGAAGTTGGCAGTGAAACATTTGGTACAATGTATTTTGTAGTACATAGGCAGTGTGGAAGTAGTGTTTTGTTTGCCTGGCATTTCAATAAGGTATTTAAATAAGGGTACATGTGAAATGTTGTGTGCTTATCACTTGATATAAGCTAATAAATGTTACTACTGTGTGATTTGACTTACAGTAACTATTAACAGACCAGGTGTCACCAGCCTGGATGAGGGCTGCATAAAACAATTTACAAATTTGATATCAAGTGGCTTCCATAGCAGATTGAAGGTTGAAAAGACTGACGTTTTATTAGATGTTATATATTGCAGTACTTATTTCATGTATGTATCACTGTAGGAAAATGCAGATTATTTTTGTGCAGAGAGACCATATGTTGTCTGATCCCACTGTAGCCACAGTATTTCCACCCAGAGAATTGTCAGGGTTAGAACAGATCATGTTCTCAAAGCTGCCTGCCGCTAGGCATGTAATCTCCAGCCTTTCTCTCCTAGCCACCTGGTCACCTTTCACATTTATGTTCTCCACAGTCAGCCTTGCTACTCTGTCAACTCTGACTGTAAATTTCCCATCTGTCCCACAATGCATTGTGTTAGGTTCCACCGGGGGTTGTCCCGGGATTGTGCGCCGTTTTCCAGACCATTACTCCGACCTTTCCAGCCTGTGTGAGGTCGGCAGGAATTTTCAGTAAACACCCAACGCTGTTTGCTGTGCAAAGAAAGACTCATGTAGGAAATGTTACACAAACTAAAGCATGGAATGTTTCTGAACTTGACATTGTGGTTTGCCTGATTGTTTCTTTATCACCATTGCCAGTCATGCAGAAGAATGGCAATAGCAAAAGATTTTGTTGTAAAAAAATAATGATGAATAGTTGAGAGTTACTGTCATACTTTTGTTATAGAAGATAGTTTTCAAATGTTTTTCCTTGTCTACTTTTTCAAGTTACAGCATCAAATTTTGTAGAGCATTGAATGTTGGGGACCATAAGGGTCTTTCCAGGTTGAAACTATTCATAGGGTATTTCTCAGAAATACGGCTACTCCACCAAATATTATCCAGTTGTTAACTAAACAAAACCAGCAGGTCAGTCCACTGTACCTATAGTAACTACATACGTCGGTAGTCTTTCTTGTTGTATCACATTTTACCATTCCCTGGTCTAACTGTATACATCATAATATTTTTCTAAAGATGTACCTTATATAGTCGTGCCTTTTGTTTAAATACCAGACATCCATTCTTATGCAACTATAATTAAGCCAGTCTCTGACCTTTTGTACTTGCTTCATGATTTCTTTCTAGACCACCTGTTAGCCTTTTCTTTTCGACCACCTGTTAACTCACCTTGCTTTACTTGAGTGCATTACCCCTTAGTTATCCTGTGGTTTGGTATTTGTAAAAGCAACAATTCCTGTTGTTAGAAACAGCAGACCTTCACCTTTGCCTTTGTGACAAGCCCACCCACCATATTTGTTGTGACGTATTTTCCCTGTTGGGAGCAGTAGTTGTTGAGGCATATTTTACGTACTACTCTTCTAGAACTTGACGTCTTCTGTTACAAAGATCTTTGTATTCATAGGACAAAAAGGTTGAACAAGAAATGCTGTTTTCCAACAGCTAGTTGCGTACTATCCTCTGATATTGATAGAACTTATATTGAAGAAGATATGGGTAACATCTTAAGCTAAACGTTTACTAATAAATAAGAAATAGCACACAGATTGAGATGTGGATGTTATGACAGTTAAAAGCACAACTGGAGTTTTCTGCCATACTTCAGAATGTTGTTTTTTCCCAAGGTCATATATGGTTGGATGGACACAAGGTCAAGTACGTGCAGGAAAAAGGCAACCACTAGAATGTATTGTTAGCTTTGAATCCAACGTGAGACACCTTTAAAGTACATTTACCTTGGCATGTGTCCATATTGAAAGAAAGGCAATATTTTCTGTGCTTATGATGTGAGTTGAATATCTTAGGTCTTAACCACATTCAAGGCCAGGCCTTGGAGTCTGGGCACACCTCTGTCTGCTGTCTTTGTTCCTAATTAAAGGTAACATTATCTGACTCCGTACAAGACAACTATGAATACAGCATTGCCCCCCTATAGAGTTAAATCAGTTAACACCACAACCAGATACAGTTATCCAGTCAACCGGGTCTTCATTCTTCAAACTGACTTTTCCGGAAGTAAAGTCTTGCAAGATTTAACAGTTCCTGTGTTAATTGACTTATTAATTGTTGGAAGCAACAATGCAAGTGCCAGAGTCTTTACAGGTATATATCCCAATCAGTCAAGCGTGTGTGTTTGTGAAACACCTGTCCCGTGAGTTGAGCGAGAAGGGTGGTAGGAGTGATGTGTTTGGCCAGCAGAGCAGGACAATAGCAGACACGTCTGGCACGTAGCGCTACACGGTGTCCCCTCATGCATTAATTAGCCTCTGCACTTGACAGGTGAAGCATCCCGTGACTGTCTCTTCAAAGATGCCTGCGTCTGAAAGCATTCAGGCTAGATCCGGGCTATTTGTCACGAATGCCCCTCCCCGCCATGCCTCTCTTATTTATGTACTCTAACTTACCTGTCTTTTCCTCTACCTTTTGTTGTTGGAGGGTGGGGGGTTCTGACTTGTTCATTTACTTGGCAGCTTGAAACAAGATACACCCTAACTTAAAAGAGGATTCATTGCCTTCTATACTTTCACACAACTTTAAACAATTTCTAGGTTTGATATAATATAGTTATAGCGTATGTACAAATACAAATTAGAGTGAAAATGATATCATTGAGGCATATTTGCACGGCCACGTGTAATCTTATTTTAGAACCGTGTTATTTTTATTGTCTAGAGTTGCAGCTAACTGAAAGTGCTGTATTGTATGTTGTACAAGATGTATTGATTGGTGAATGGTATCAACATACAGGATAAATAAAAACACCTTGGCGTAACTTGTTAGGAGATCGTAAAATTTTAACACCACTTAATTCCAAAAAATAGACAATACACAACAACACTTTCACATATTTGTCAAAATTCTGAAAGGCATTGCAATAATTATCTATATGGTAATTTAGAATTAAATATCATCTGATTCAGAAAGTGTTGAAGCTGTGATTTGAGCATGTTGTTTTGTTTGTTTGTTGCAGATCTTCCAAGACCTGGGCACAGATGTACTGGCATCAGCATTTGAAGGCTACAATGCATGTGTGTTTGCATATGGCCAAACAGGAACAGGCAAAACTTACACCATGATGGGAGACACCGTAAGTATCTGGACCTTGAAAGTATCAAATGACTTATACATATATCTGTTTGTTAGCTTCATTTGAGGGCTCGTTGCCTTCTATAACTTCTAATTTCATGGTAAAGAAGAAGTGCATTTCATAAAAGTGCATTTCATAATCAAGTGGTTATAATATGAAATTCATTTGTAATTCTACTTAAGACCTATGTGGTAAACTATAAACATGCTGGTCTGAATGAATTTTTATGGTATTTTATTACAGTAGGTTTCAGGTCTGATTTCTTGTATAATTGAATCCTGTTGTTTAAATGTGGTTTTACAGGACAGACTCGGTCTTATACCAAGGATAAGCGAGGTAAGTGCTCGCTGCATTACACAATCTCTGTGAGAAAAGCCCACAGTTAGCATTGCATTTACACCTATCAAAAGCCCATTGAAAATCAATCTGTTGTGAACCTGTTGATGTTTTTGTGTGGGCCATTGTGGGGAGGTGAAAAGTTTCTACCATCGGTGCACAGGGTGAAAGGCAAGTGTAGCAAGATTTCTGTGTCGCCATGTTGGCAAAGCATTTCTGCAAAAAGGGAAATCCTTTTCACGCCTGAATGAATGTGTTGGTGGCTGAGTAACCAGACCTTTCACTTTTTTGTAGTGCAAACAAGTCAATGGCAGAGATAAACATGCGGGGGCTATTTTGGAGGCTCATCTTGCATGTTTAAAGGGCTCCGTGTACATGGCCCCGTCTGAACCCAGCCCTTGTATTTTTCTCAGACACTCTTCTGAATCGGTTTCTAGCACAACTTACGTCAACCGCTGCGAAAACAGTAACAGAGATTGTTTCCATCAAACTCTCCTACGGATGATTATGTTTAATGTCAGGTATAATAGATATAAAACACTTAGAGTTGTTCAAACATCGATCTCTTGTTTGTATAACCTTTTGAGGGCAGCCTGACCATAGCTAAAGAGCTGGACTTCCTCAAACTTTGCTTTTGGTTGGCAGTCTGACAGAAGAAAGTGTATTTTGCAAAGTCTGAGTAAAGAAGAGCTTAAAGTACATGACGTCAAAACTAACCCAGAGCTATTGGGGATCTTTGTTGACCTTCGTGGGAAATGGCACATGAGCCAGAAGGATTCTTGGTCTTGTTCCAGGCTAGAGGATTTGTAGAACAGTCAGAATTAGAATTTACAAAGGGTTGTCCAGCTCTCCTTGGTGATGAGGAATGCAGGGCACACATCATTGCTAACACCTGCCTCACGGTGGAGATACTCATGTCAGCTTCCTTACTTTGTCACATTGACCCAAGACAAGTTCTTCGTTCAGGGGACACTGACTCTGCAGAATGACCTTTGATCTAAAACGGGAAGTTCATTTTGTCTTCAGGGCATTGGATACCACAGAAAGACAGGATGTTGTAAGATTTGTTTTGCCCTTGAGATTAATCTGATTACTACATGTATTGAAACATCATCTGTCTTTCAGTTGTCAGCATTTTCTAAAGTGTTTAGAATGCTCTATCCAGGTTTGGGGTCTATGCTTGTCTGTTAAAGTTCTAGCACTGGGGCCAAATGCTTGTACATAGTTAATGTATCACAGTTAGGTCTAAATGTTTGAACTTCTGCATGATTATACATGTTGTAGATTGAAGATGGGTACAGGTAGTCTTTTCAAGTGTGACAGGATTCTCACAAAGTACCTCGCACACACGAGAGGGGCTACATAGCATAAACATTTAAAGCACCAGCCATTTGTCCATTGTTAAAAGCACAATATGTCCCTTATTTCAACTTAAGCTACACGGCTTGTCAAACAGCAGCCTTCTCCACCTACATATACACCTAAAAGGAAATGACATCTTTCTCTGGACACGTTGTTCAAAGGAAAAGACTGATCAGGATCTTGCTGACAAATGATCTTATTGAACGGAAATGCAAGCAGGCACAGTCTCTTCCGTGGCATTGTTAGTTTTTATGTTGTGCCTTGTATCCTGGGGTTAGGGTTAAATCTCCCTGTCATGTCATGTAAGAGGTTAGCGTCACCATTCTTTTCTGTAGATGTCATGTGGTAACATCCCTGTGTCAGGAATGTCATAACTTGGACTGAAAGTCTAGCCCGTGCATTTGTCTGGTAACATGCTGAGTCATCTTGGCTCTTTTCCACCTAGAAAGTCATGATAATGTTCTGTATGCTGTAGACTGTATGCATGAAAGATACAAATCATGTAGCTTGAAAATAACTACCGTAACAGCATAGCTTGTAGAAATAAATTTTGTAAGGCCACACCAATTTAATTTCTTGGTTAACGGATTTTTCAAGAAAAAAAATGGAGCGGGCGGGCGAAAAAAAAATAAAAATAAAAATTTGAGACTACCTGCCATACAGCCATGTAGTAAGCAATCCATTAAGTTAAGTTACAAAATGATATAAGACATTATATTGGACACTTATTGAACTGAAAGGACCATTACTACATGAGCAACTTCTTTTACATCCCTTTACAATTATTCGTATTATTTTGCAAGATACACATCTTTACTGTATGAACAACAAACTGTCAGTTGACAAGACTCTGATCCAACTGGTTTCACTTTTATTCATCTTTCAAAGTTCCAAAGAGTGGTTTAAATCAGGGAGCTCTGTTCAGATCCCATTGTTTTCTTAGAGTTGAGGGAACACAGCTTACCACTGGGCTGGGCATTCTATTGTGTCTGGCTGATATGGAAGTTATTTAGAGCTTGGAATTTACAATATCCTAAATATATGTTTTAGACAAATTTCCAGGAATGTTTAAAAGTTATTGTCAAAAGAATTAACTACTTAAACAGATATTTTTATTTCTTTTTTTTTTATCTTTCCCCAATTCCCCAAATACTACCGGTAGTATCCATTTTATATTTCCCATTATACACTTTAGGTATGCTACAGCTACATTATACATAGCCAAAATTCAAACAAATAGCCACATTGACACACTCTTCAAGTTGCCACAAATTCAATGGTCTAGGGTTTCACTATAAAGTCCTTGATGTATGGGGTATTTTTTATTGTAGGGGGAACCATTTTATTCAAAAATTTAGATATAATAATTAATGCATTATTTGCAATTGTACTCCTGTTTATAGGTATCTAAATAAGATGTAACATTGTTAGAATGCCACAAGCACATGTAGTATTTTTCACAGAGTAACTTCTATAATTAAAAGGACCTGTTTCCCCCTACTCGAAGTGGACTCTTCCGACCGTGAGAAAAAGTTGCTTTAGTGAATGGACATACGTGCATGTGCATGGAGGACTTTTTACTTTGCCAAATTCCCATGTTTGTGGTAGGTATTTTGTACTTTTTGAGAGTAATACAGTTTGTGATGCCAGAATACATTGTTATGTCGTGTTATTTTTACATATTCCCTGGAAAATAGATCGTTTTGAAGGTGTGTGTGCATGTGCCGCCCAGGCCGAGTTTATACGTTGGGCCGATCACTTTTAACGCCCTTTACTAGCACGTTTCCGACACAATAGGTGTTTCAAAATATAATATATATCTAAAAGGGAGATGATATGTTGTTACAGGCACGATGACTCAGTAAATCTGCCGTACGTTTGTCGTCAGTGAAGTTTTGTCCCATGAATGGTGACATGACATGTGCAAAGGGGGTGGGGGGCGAGTTCTATATCAAAAGAATTTGACGAACTTTTGAAGAGGCAACCTAGCTTTCCAAACAAAATTATTGCACTCAGAAAAATGTTTCTGCCTTAAAGCAATGTATTTTTAATGCTGTTAACTATGCCCAAATTTTGAAAAATTACAACGTACCGGGTGGATTTTGGGGCCCCCAATTCAGGACCCGAGAGTATGGATTTTTGTTCTGTTTTTATTTTTATTTCATTTTGGCAAAAAAACGAAGCGGCGAATCCGTTAACCAAGGAAATAAATTGGTGTGGCCTAAGTAATAATAATGTAAAAAGTACAACAAACAATGTGTTACATCTGTACTTTTGTTATTAGAATGTTAAATGTATACTACATGTCCCTTCCAGGCACCTGAGTGCTCATGTTTCTTTTTTTATGTTTTATCACAAACAGGGTTTGTTCTCCAGAATAGACGATCATGTAGGAGAGCGTGTTACCTTCAAGACAGAAGTCAGGTAACCGCAATTTTCTCCTTATCTTCCTTGTAACTCCCCTAACTGGAAGGATTTCCATACTTTTGACAAGAAAATGAAAGAAATTTGTTTCAGTAGTACTTTAGTTAACATCATAACACCTTGCTACCTACAGCTATCTGGAAATCTACAATGAAAGAGTCAGGGACCTGTTGTGCCATCCTGGTGCCAAGGCAAACACCTACAGTCTCAAGGTGCGGGAACACCCGGAGAAGGGGCCTTATGTACAAGGTAAGAACAGACATCTCAAGTAATATCTGCAAGCTTTTTGAATTACACCTCTTCCGAGTTGTATAATTTATTGAAAATCTTCACCTAAGGGTATGTTGTATTGATGAAATTTGAATATGTAAAGGATCTTAGTGGCTTCATTTCATATCCATTATAAGTGAAGAGTTTAAAAATCATTATCATTCTAAACTTTCATTGTTTTTTCTTCAGATTTATCAAGACATTTAGTATCAGACTACACCTCATTAGAAAGGCTCATTCAAAGGGGCAATGAAAATAGGTAAGTCAAACTACTTTCATGCTGATCAGGACTTCTTGATTTTTTTTCAGACTAGGATATGGTAAGACCTATTTAACTTATATATGATGATTGTGTCTTGTTTGCAGAACAACTGCTGCCACCTACATCCATGACCTCAGCAGCAGATCACATGCAATATTCACCATTTACTTCTCTCAGGTGAGTATTGTGTCTTGTCCCTCACAACTTGATATTTTGTATTGTTGGTTGCTTGATATGTATATTGCCATAATCATCTTCCTTTATTGTGGAATGAATGAACCAGACTAAAACCATTCTGATTGCTCTCTGTTGCAGGCCAAATTAGAAGACAATCTTCCACGTGAGATAGTTAGCAAAATTCACCTTGTAGATTTAGCTGGAAGGTAAGTAAGTTTTTTTCCTTTGTTGACTTCAGAGATGATTTATAATGTGTAAAAAAAAGGGGTAAACTGTGTCTATTTGTAAGAGTTTATTGACTAACCAATACTAATAACAGTCAGTTTTGTGTAGATATGTTTCGTACTCAAATTGAATAAATTCTTTGTAACCTTGTGAATCAACTGTGTTATGTTCTATCTGCAGTGAAAGGGCTGACCCAAACTACCACAAAGACAGGTTAAAAGAAGGTGCAAATATCAACAGATCTCTGGTAACTCTAGGAACAGTCATTTCTGCACTGGGTAAGTTCTTACACAGACCAAGGTAAACACTCTGCTGTCTTTCCATTATTTCTCAATTTTCTTCTGCTATTTTCCCCTTAATTATTGACTCACCTCGAAACGGAAAACTCTGAATTTAGAAACCTGACCTAGTTTTTTTTCATAACACAGCCTCTTTAGATAACTCAAAACACATCTATGGCATAAGTATGTATAACGAAATGTTCAGTTCTGACATTGTCCGTAACTTGCACACATATCTTAACGATCATTAACTTTTTCTCCACCCTTACTCTTACCTTCACCTGGAGTAACCGACCCATCCTTGTGTTTGTTATTGTCTTCCTCCTTGCCACTCAACTAACCCCCGGACAGCCTACCAACAGGAGAAGGGCGCCACAAGTTCGCCCTGGACATGTGAGACCTCTTCACTTAATTCTCGCGCTCTTTGCTGCTGCTGCTCTGCATCTTTGCCTTTTTGTTAAAAACAAGACTTCCTCCGCCTGCAAGCTAATACTGGTAATACCCAGTCTGCACTGTCTGTCACTGATCAGCATCTCTTCAGACATGGCACAAACACATACAGGTGATAAGCCACACTGGGAAAGAAGTAAAACATCTTTAGAAATGTCATAATGATGCTCTTGGAATTGGCAGCTGGCATCAACCTACATTGCAGCTACATTCCAAGCAATGCTGCGACGTGCTTGCAAGCCATTTAAACTGCTCTGTCAGTGAAAGATATGAATAGTATTGTAGTTATGCTCATTGATTTGCTTTGTGCTAATCAGGTGATGGGCAGCATTTGGCGAATTTGTATACCAGCATGATCATTCATATCATATTTCATGCTATGAAATGATTTGAATTTCTTTTAGCTCAGCATCTTTTGAATTGAGGGCTTGGATTCATACCTTTGCACTGTAATTCTTCTTCAAAACAAACTGTTATATCCTGTAATGACTGATGTACTTGTGTATTTCCAGCTGAGAACTCCCTCCTGTCGGCCAGTACGGAGAGTTTCGGCAGCATCGGGGATGACCTGGGCTCCTCCCTGGGCAAGGCTGGGAAGAAGATGGCTTTTATCCCCTACAGGGACTCTGTACTGACGTGGCTCCTCAAGGACAGCCTAGGTGGAAACGCAAAGACAATCATGATAGCAGGTCTGTAGTATTGCATGTATATCTTCTGGAAGTTTATGATCCTGAATATTACATGCATGTTTGACTTGACACATACATCTCTTTTCCTAACAGCTCTCAGTAAAAATGAACACTTGTAATCTTTATACAACAATGCATATTTCATAAAT